TTATCAAAGCACCCTACAAAGGCAGAGGCATAAACTGAGTGTACACTATTAATAAGCCATACCTAGCAGCTTTCCACTCTGATTATTCTGTTGCAAGTCAGAGACACTCTGAAGTTAAGCTTACGCCAGAAAAAGATTTATTAGGATAGCTGTGCAGGCAAGACAGTTGTACAGGCAAAATGCAACATCAGGAGGTGGAGTTTGTGCTGGTCAAACAGTATTTTACACCAGCTTTTCCTGGGCCACACCTGGTATTATGCCAGCATAGGAATGTCACAACCTAACCACCTATTATTGTAGTGGAAAGCTTCAACTAGGGATTTGGTCCAGCAGTAGCAATTACCATTGGCCATATAGGGGTGACAAATAAAGAATGAAGACAAGTTTAAATCATAGAATGATAGAACAGTTTGGGTTGGAGAGGACCTTAAGATCACCCTGTTCCAATCCCCCTGCCATGAGCTGGGACACCTCACATTACACCATGTTGCCCCAGGCTCTGTCCAACCTGGCCTTGGACACTGCCAGGGATGGGGCATTCACAACTTCCTTGGGCAGCCTGTGCCAATGCCTCACCACTCCCACAGGAATTTCCTGAAAATTAGCATCAGAATGGCAAAATTGCATATTTACTCATTACCATTGCCTCCAGGAGTCCTTTTGACTAAGTCCTGCTGGCCAACACCTTTCACCTCTCCCAGGCTCTTGCCAACAAGGATGCAATTGCCCTGGGCAGGAGTGATTGATGGTAGCCCATCTACTGCTTAATCAAATATAGCCATTCCACTCTCTGAGTTTCTTCTGGACCTGAGTACTGCTGCCAAGGAAAAGCGATATGCAGAAATGGAAAGCTGATCACGATCAATAAAGCAGCAGTTTCTCTAAACTGAAAAAGAGGCAGAAATAGGAAAACATTCTGAACTAGGGAAGCATGCAGTGCCAGAAAGGGAAAGTCAAGGAGTATGGAATACAGTAATCCAGGGAGCCTGTGTGCTGCAGAGACAGAGAAGAAAAACAGAGACAGCTGCTGCAAGGGACCACTGGGTAGGCAGCATTCTGAAGAAAATCAGATCCATCAGGTGCAAAAGGAAGGAAGAGAAAGGCCTAATGAGTGGCTAAGAGTGAAGTCTGTATGTGCACCTCTATTGACACTTTCAGCCTAACTCCTGATTAACATCATTCTCTTCTTTTACAGGAGAGAAAATGAGGATCAGAAATATGGAGTCACTGCTAGAGACATAGACAGGGAAAGCATCCCGTATCTCTCAATCCTGATCACCAAGAACTAGCTATATATCAGGCAAACTGAGAAAGCAGTGAATCATTGTATCTTCAAGGAAAAGCAATTTTAAGGCTCAATCTCATCACTGGAAGCAAGGCAGAAACCCCCAGAAATACATCTCATGAAATTTCTTACAATGCTGTGAAGCTGAATTGATCTCAGCATCTTCAGGTTTTCAGTTACCAAAATGAACCAGACCATATACCAGGACACGCATAAAAGAAACACATTAGAAGATATGCGTAGTTATATACAGATATGCTTCCCTGCTTAAGCTTTCAGAATTGATATTGCCAGCCACTCTCCACATCTGTGGGAGTCTGACCAGGACTTTAACAAGGCCAAAACATGTAACAGGTCTCAAGTCCTTCTGCCCACTCAACAGGATCTCCGAAAGGCCTTCAGAGAGCTCCTAGGACTAGTCTCAAAGGAAACTAAAACCAAGCAGCAAATAGCAGGGGTCTAACAATGAGGCCTGAACTTTGCTTCCACAACCAAATCCTCTTTAGCACTGGAATAAAAGGAGAGGAAACAAGTAATTTTCTGCTTGTGGACCCTTTCATTCTTCTGTGAGAAACTGAAAAAGATGTAACTCTAAGGACTAAGAGGTGTATTGTGTGAGAAAATTACAGCAAGGGAAGCTGGACTGCATCATTAAGTTATGGCAGGATAACTGTGAGCAGGAAACTGAAGGGTGTCCCTGTAAATTCAGTACCCTTATGTCACATATATGAGCCACTTGTGTTTTGACTGTTACATTTGCTCTCATTTGAATGCAGTTCCTTCCTCTTTTGCCCCAATTAACTTTATTCAAATAGCTGTGTCATAAGTCCTGAGTTTATAGTAGCTTTTCTTTGCTACCTCACCTTGTATTACAGGGTCACACAAAAAGGACAGTGCGTCATCAGAGGACTGTGTGAGATATCAGCAAGCTTGACATTATCAGCAAGCTGACATTAGGAGAGCCAAACAGATGACCATTTAATTTCTGCACACCCACAAAAGGCTTGATGCAAAACTCACTGGAATTTGTGGAAATATAAGGGGCTTTGGCTCAGCCTCAAACAGACCAGCCAGGAATAATGCTGAAAATATATCTGGAACTGAGATGGCACAACAGGACTAATCCCAGTCACCTTCCTTTAGCAGGAGGCTCACAGTGATTTGAATTGGCTAGCTTCTGTTGTGAATTAAGCTCAAAGCCCCAAAGGCAACTCAATTCCAGTCATCTAGCTTTGCAGCCTCCTCCAAACTTGATCCAGAGGGAAAAGTGACTAATCCTATTCAGCCGCTACACTGAGCTAGTGTCATAAATTAAAAAAACTTGGGGCACAGGGAAAACTAATAATCTGGGTCAGCCTTTCTCTGCAAGTCCTCTCCTCAACTAATAAAGGAAAGTAAGGAGACAGAGAAGGCACTGATAAGAAGGAAAGTCCACCTGATAAAGTGCACACACTTCACAGAAAAGGAAGCAGATCAGTGAGGTTTTGTCAAAACTCCCAAAACGGGAAGAGATTGGACTAGGGGAGCCAAGTCTCCTGTTTGCTGGAAAAAGGATCATGTTCTACACTCACTTCCAGTTCTTCAGTGTCCACGCAGGGCTGAGAGGACAATCGTGGGTGGGAGCAAGGCAAGCTGCAAAAACATTTCTGGCCATAGAAGTCGACTTCTTGGCTCCTCTCTCTTCAGGGCTACGGGTAGCACAGGAGAACAGCCCATTATCTGGTCCTAGCCATGACCTAGGAGGTGAGTCATAAAATGGGAGTTGCCACTGTAACAGCTGCTTAAGCGATGACATTACTAGGTGCTTTCAGCAAATGCATTTTTGGGTAGGCTTCAAAGTAAATAACTGCTGCTGCTGCTTATCATAATGTTACTTTGAACAGGGTTACCAAGGACTGTGTGCTGCAGAAAAGGTTAGTCTGCAGATAATCCCCTACCAAGGTTATTAGCATAATAAAGGAAAATGGTGTATGTGATATTGTAACAATCTCTAAGTTTTCCCTGCCCCTTACAATAGAAGTAGAGGGCTTTCATTATTAACATCAGTTGTCTCATTTGACTTTGGTACAGGTTTCCTGTGTTGACAGGAAAGGGCTGAAGGTGTGTTTGTGATGAAAGTGAAGATATTTTGTTTTTAAAGAAGCTATTCTATAAGCAGTGAAATTTATGAAGCCTGGTCACCTTGTTTGGTGTCTTCTCATCTGCATGTCACCTGGCGTGTACCACACTATATCACCAGCCCCATCCTCCACAGCCCACTGGGGTAGTTAGGAGAATGCTGACAGAATGGCTGGTTGCTGTTAAATACATAGGAGCTGAATTCTGCCCCTTCTCATCAGTGAGGGGCATGAAGTGATCAGATCACCTGCCTTTATGTAAATGCCTGTTTTTGTTACATTTATTGTGTGTCTTTGAGGCTGTTGTCAATGGGAGAGATGCCAAAGCTCCACAGCTACTGAAGGGAAGGATGATCATGGCTTCTCAAGTGTTATTCCCATAGGTCAAACTGCACAGGTTGGCTCTGCCAGGAAGCTTTTGGAGGATAATTCACCAAGGCAGGCCAAACACATGGTACTACAGGTGATAAAGACTGAAGAGGAAGGCTAGCAAAAAAACCCCAAAAATCTCCAACCCCCCCCCCCCAAAACAAACCCCCCCAAAGACCAGGAAGTGTGACACTTCAATGGAATTCCCTCTTTTGTCAGGGTGACTCTGACAGTGTCACTGGTGTGCCTAGCTAATGCTTTACCTAATGGAAGACTACGCAGCAAGTTTGTGGGGACTGTATGTAGTTTGGGTATTGACCTAGGAGAAATGAGGGGCAGAAAATGGGGGAGGAGGGGGAAAGAGTGAGAATGTGGAGAGAAGCAGCAAATGCAGAGGTCCAGGAAAACAGAGGAGAATGACAAAGACTGTCCCTGTGTGGGTGTCCTCTGCAGGGGCACCTCTGGCTCAAGGATTACTGGATATAAACATTGAAAGATCAGTGCCACGACCTTGTGGTGAGTCAGAAACGCGTGAAGCTGCTGTCCCACTGCAGAGAGCCTCAGCATCCCCAGGCTTACAGCTGGCCTAACACCCCTTTTCTTCAGTTCCCAAGGGTCCCCAAAAGAAGCTACAGGCATTCATTACCCGACCCAACCGGGGGTTCCCGGGAGCAGGCAGCGCCTGGCAGCGTGGGGTGGGAAGCCATGGTTTTAGGAGGAGCCCCTCTCGGCTGACCCCCGACCTCCCAGTCGCTATGAAGAGAAAAGTCCAGCCCCGGGATGTCCTTTCCTTTCCCCGGGGTCCCCCGCCGCTCCGGCGGTCTCAGTTTTGCAATGGAGTCCCCGGGATTCCCAAGGAGTCATGTCATGACAGCGGTCTGTCGAGGCAGAAGCCGTGCTCCCGGGGATCACCTCGAGGTCCTCCCTCGGGAGGAAGGGCGACAATACAAACTCCCGTCCATTACCGGGATGTGCGGTCATTGTATTTTCGGCCACTGAAGGTACCGAGCAATGCGACAGACGACCCCCTCGATCGGCGGCACCGAGCCAAATAGTGCCCCAGGGGAAGTCGGTGGGAACGCCGGTCCCCATTGTCCGTTCACGAGTGGATCCGGCAGCGCCGCGGGAGCATACGGAGAGGGGGGACCACGTGCGTGCTGCGGGCGGCGGGTCGCTCCGGCCAAATGTTTTTTCTCCGTTGGGTAGGCAGGGAGGGAGAGATCGACAGGCAGAGGTGCGGGGAGATGAGTAAAATGTCTCGCAAATACAATACGCCGCTGCGCCCTTCCCGCAGGAGAGCTCCCCGTCAGGGGACTCGGGAAAATAAAAGAGAGGTGGGGAAAGAATCCCTAATACTTGAACCTTCGGAAAATTGAAGGGGGTTTTTCCCGGTTCCGCTGCCAAGCCCAGGATTTTTGTTTTCTCTCCCAGCATGCGTTGATGACATCACGAAGTGCCCCTTCTTTGTGTGTCAGTGATGTCACCAAGTGCAGTGTGGGGGACAATGGAATCCTGAACTCCGGGCGAGTGGGAAGCGGCTGCTCCTGCTGCGGGTTCGGCGCTGAGCCGAGGGAGGGAAGGGAGGACACAGCTGCTGCTTTGGGGCTGAAACAGGTGAGAGACGGGGAAAGATGACGGGGATTCCTTTCGACTTGCCGGGGGGGGCGACTTCTTTGGGCTGGGTTCTTTTTTTTTCACCACCACCCTCTCCCCCCCCGAATTCCCCCTTATTGCTGAGACAGGTGAGAAGTTGCTGCTGTTCTTCAAGGAACAAAGCAGGTGAGGCAGGGAATAAGCTTTGGGGTTGAAACAGTTGTAAGAATAGGAGGAAAGCGAGCACACACACAAACACAGACACACACACCCACACACCCCCCCCCCGAAGCCTGGTAGCCCCACTAAGCATTAAAGAAGCATCCCGGGAGCTTGCCCCCGCTCCCAGCCACCTGCCTCGACCGCGTCCCTGAGGGGCTCTTGCACGGAAGCAGAAGAGCCGGGGAGGACGTTTATCCCCCCGCCGCCCCGACACCCCTGCAGGTTACTTTCCAGAGGGTCTCCATTAAAAACTCCAGCCCCCTCCAGGCGCCCCTTTCCCACTGGAGCAGGATGGGGACACGCGGTGCCAGCGAGGACGCCCCCCCCTCCCGGCTCCGGCCCCTGCCCCGCATGAGGCAGCGGGTGCGTCGCGGCCCCGCCGCCCCTCAGCCCCGCTCGGCGGTGGGGGAGCAGCCAGGGAAGCCATTGCCTGTTTAATAGTTGCTGTTGCAGCACTTCCGCTTCTCTCCCAGCGAGAGAGACACGAGTGGCCAGGCCCAGCCGCACCGAGGAGGAGCAGCCAGACACAAAGGGAGAGGTAGGGGGACGGGGCAACCCCCGCTGCCCTCCCTGCCGGCCAGCGGGGGTAGGGGCGAGGGGCAGGGCCGGCCGCGGCCCGGCGATGGGGCGGGAGGCGACAGAGCCGGTGGGGCAGGGGGATCGCGCCCGAGGCTGTCAGGTATCGCTGTCCCCCTTGGCCCTGCGGGCCCGCGGCCGGGGAAGCTCGGCCGGGCCCCCCTGCTCCCGGAGGAGGGGCGGCAGCGCTGGCGGTCCGGTGGGGGCATGGGGGGCTCGCCGGAGGCCCTGGGAGAGAAGCGGCCGTGTTCCGGCCCCCCAGGCAGCTGCTGCCCCGCCGCCGGTCGCCCCGGGCCCGCGGCTGCCCCCCTCGCTGCCGCCCTAACTCTCCCGGGGTGCCCTGCCTGCCCCCCCCCCCCCCCCATCTCGACGCCTTTTCGCCTCTCTTGGGTGCGGACCTGCCCTTGGTACCCCACCGTGTTTGTCCTGCACTGTGCCCCCTAGGTGCTCGCATGAGACTGGGCTGTCTCCCCCCGACACCCCCCGGCACTCTCCCTGCCACCGGCCTCCCCAGGCCCTCTGCTCTCACCCCTTGTAGGCCCTGGCCCTTCTCCTCCCCCCTGGCACCCTCCTCAGCACAGACCCGGTGTTCCCTTCCCCCTTTGCTGGTATGTCCCTCGGTGCAGAGGGCCTCAGAGGGTCCCTTCCATGCACTCAACTCCCTGCTTAGCCATGCCCATTTATTCCCCTTCTTCCTTCCTCCCCCCCCGCTTCCCACACCCAATCCAGCAGGCGCGGGTTTCCCCACCGCAGGTCACAGGTCCTGGTTCGGGGTCTCCCCCCTGTTGCCAGTGATGCCCCACTTCCATTTTAGTGCTGGCAACGGTCAACTCCCCTCCAGCCCCATCCCTTCCCACCTCCCCCACGTGCCTCCCGGGAGCCCCAGGGACCGGAGCTGTTCCATTTTTATCTCCTACACCCCTAGGCTGGATAGTGGTGGGTGGTGATGGCTCCTCTTGTGTGTGCAGTTTGGGGGAGATTAGAAGGAATTGCGTTGAGCTTCCCTGATCCTCACAGTTGTCCTCCTTCCAGTCTCTTCTCTCATTTCGCACATGCTTTCTGAGAGGAAGCTTTAAGTCTCTTTTCCCCTCCTGATCTTTGGTGTTACTAGTGCAGGGGAGGCTACTGCTCCTGCTGCTTTGACCGTGGGGGCCTGAGGAGGAGAGGGAGACACAAGGACCCTTTAAAAGGAGCATGGCCCGAACACAGAGCGAGATTGTCAGCAGCCTGTCTCTGTGTGTTTGTGTTCACTGTTTGTTCCCCACGCCCCATGGTGTCTCCTCTCCAGGTTGGGGTGTGTGGTGGGGGGGTCACTATGTCGGATGACGATTCGAGGGCCAGCACCAGCTCCTCCTCATCTTCATCCTCCAACCAACAGACAGAGAAAGAGACAAGCACGCCTAAGAAGAAGGAAGGCAAAGTCAGCATGAGTAAAAACTCTAAGCTGCTATCTACCAGTGCCAAGAGGTGAGGCTGCAGTCGGTTTTCTCACCGATTTGCTGCATCTTCTTTCCCTTTTCCTTGTATTTTGATCTATTCCCTCTGTTCCCTTGCTGCTGCCATTCCTCATCTCTAGCCCTCGAGATCAGCCTTTCCACACGAAGCTGCCATTGTCTCACTTTTTTCAGACTCTTGGTGCAGCAAGTGTCTGCCCAACTTCACTGCTCTCTGCTCTCTCTGCTTCGTCCTCTTCCATCCCAAATATTTTACTGCCTTCTCTTCCTCCAGGCTGTTATTCTGTCCCTCAGTTATTTCCCCTGTTTCTTCCTTTTTCCTTACTGGCATCACTTATAGGGATGGTGTAGGATTGGCATGTAGGACCTTAATTCCTTCTCTGCTGCCAGAAGCTATGTGGTTCTGAGCAAGGCATTGCATTTTGATGTCAGTTTCCCCCTCTGTAGGTTGGGATTGATCTTAGAGTGGCTTTTTGCTTCTTTGGGGATCAGTTAATGTTTGTGAAGAGTTTTGAGTTTGCTTGCTCTGGGGGAGTGCACTTGCATGAAAGTGGTGTAAGATAGCCCTAAATCTTTTCCACCAAATATTACTGTTTTGCTGTCTGATCATCGCTTATATTGAACGTTACGTGTATGGTTGGCTGTCGACTGGGATAAATAATCCACAGCAGGTCTGCTTGTGGACATTCTGCTCTGAAGTAGTCCGGAATAATGTGTGCACGGGGAAGGGATGCCTGCATAGAACAGTAGTTTCAGAACAGCTACGTCAGTCAGATTTCTTCACCTGGACAGACTCTTGGAACCACTTAGGTTTTAAAAGTTACCCTTTCCCATTTTCTGTGTTTCTCCTGGTTCAACACCATCTTGCTCCAGGGAGCTAAACTGACAAATGGAAGTTTCCAAGCAAACTTGCAGTACTTCAGCAAGAACAATAAACTGCCTCACTGAACAGTTTTGCCGGCAGCACAGAAAGGGTGTATCTGTAGGTGTTAAAAGTGACAGAGGTTAAATGCAAATGCAACTAAGTTCTCTGTGGCTTTGTGGAATTTAGGCGGTTTGGTTATTCCAGATCTCCACTCCGCAAGTTCCCATGGCAAACGTGACATAGGTAGTGGCAAGTGGTGTTTATATGTTGTGCCCTTAACTGTTTTAACCTTCTGGTTGTAAGCTGCCTAATCTGACAGAGGCTGTGGCTCTCATGTATGAGGCAAAAGAAGCTGGCTGAGCTTAAAGAAGGGAGACAGGCTGAGTGCTGGGTGGGGAAATCTGGAGGGGAAGCCTGAGTGACAGTAATGGGACTCCAGGGAAGGGGATGATAGCTGGTTGGGCGTTTTGTGGCAAAAGCAGTGTGAGCCCAGAATAGTCTGGGCAGAGAGGACAGGGTGTTGTCTGAACATGGTGAAGAAAGGGAGCGTCTGGAGTCCTGAGGGAGGGGACCCAGGGATGTTGTGTGGTTTTTGAGGGTGAAGAGAGGGGAGAATTTAAGGAGGCAGGAATGTGCAGGAGCCTTGGAAACAGATCTTCACCTTCCTTTAAGTGTCCTTGGGAATGGTGCAGTTATTCACTCCCTTGGGGCTGGTGTTTTTTTCTCAGGATGATGATGGGAAGCTGGGGGGGGAAAGGGGGGAGGCAGTTTGGCAATGACTGTTTCTCTCGCTCCAGCAAGACAAAATTCCTTTTCAAAGTGCCATTTCCTCCTAGCACTTGGTGCATCACATTTGCAGAGGTTTTCCCTCATTTACAGGCTGTTTGGCAGAGTGAAGCAGTTTTTTCCACTGCCCCTGTGTGGCTGGCATCCTTACGGGAGCACACAACTGCGCACCTGTCTGGGTTCAGTGCATTGTGCCTGTCTGCTTTTCTGCCAGTCTCCATTACAGGGTGCCTGTCTTGCTTAGTGTGTTTGGACTGGTGGTAGGCTGCAGCTGAGAGCGCCTCTCTCTAACACAGTGTTGCAAACACAGGGTGACAATATGTATGTAAGGTGTATGTGTTAACTGCTGTCCCACAAAGTGACTTACCTTTGTTCCTTCTCGCTTTTATTGCCACAGGATTCAGAAGGAATTGGCTGACATCACCTTAGATCCACCCCCCAACTGCAGGTTGGTGTCGATTCCTTACCTGAGGAGGGTGAGGGAAGGCAAGGGGCTGAATTGTGGCTGCGTGTGTTGGTCAGAGGCTCTGGATAAAGCAGAGGAATGGCTGTTTAGGTGGCTACAGTACTCTTGTGAATGTTTGGTTGACATTAGTTTCCAGCTGTGGGGGTCTTCCAGAGATTATGTGTTTTGATGCAAGTTTTCTGTTTGCTTTGGGGATTGTTTTGGTTTGTGGTTTGTTTTGTTGCTTTTTTAAACAATTTCATTTTAATCTGTTATATTGGATTGTGTGTCTATTTCCGGAACTCACCTATGAAGAAGAGTGTGAAAACTTTCTCCTCGTTTGTTTTTTTCTGGTTTATATATCTAATGCCTGACTGCATTAATCTTACATAAATAAGAGTCCTGCCGAGAAACAAGAGAATAGTAAAATGCTACAAGCTTTTTAGCTCAGAGTGTTCTGTTGTGAACAGTAACTTACAGTGGAAGAGAAGTGTGAATTCGTCACTCAGTGGGTGCCCTACAGGAGCACACGTTAGCTGATGAAATAAAAAACAGGGTTATTCTGCTGCTGTTTATGGGGCAGCTTGTTTTTAAGTATGTTTAAGAAGCTTGTACTGTTCGTTTCAAACATACAGCAGGTTGATTTAGTTCATTGCATGGTGACCTGCCTGAGCCTCTTTGCGTTTGGAAAGGAGATGGTACTAGTGTGATATCGTTGGTTGTGCTTGCTCATTCAAGAGTAAAGTGGCTTTTGGTCTGGTCTGTGTTTGCTGCAGTTGCCAAAGCACCACTCTGTTCCTGTCTTCTTGCTGTGGTTGAGATTTTGAGGCCTTTTGATGTTTGTAATAGCAGAAATCAGAGAAAAAGCTGTTTATAAATAGCTGTTTAAGTTGGTCTTTTTAGTATTGAGTTTCCACCAGAAATGTACAATGAGCTTTTTATTGAAGATTTTGCTGCTGTTAGCCTGCAGGGACAATTAGCACAAGAATTAGCTTGACAGGTCCAGAGCCATTCTTTTGGTACAAGTCCCAAGGATCGTAATTAATGAAAGGAGGGATGGGAGGAGGCATGTGAGTGGAGGTCTAGGCTGATATGGGGTTTTTGTGCTGTTTAGAAGATAACCGATGAGCTCTGAAATCTTTAGCCGTGACAGTATTGGTTTAGTGACAGTAACGACTACCTGAATATTACAGGAATTTCCAGCTTGTGGGCTGGAGGTGTCTGTCCTGTCTGCATCCTGGCTTTGTGTCAGGATGAAGTCCACATGCGTTCCCCTTCTCCTCACACTAGAACCTGATTTTCGTGGGAAAGAAACCCAGAAGCACAGCTCAGTAACACAGTGTGACTTGCTCTCTAGAAAGGTGACTCTGAATGATCAAGGTGCTGGGGCCCCAGTCTAAACTTTGCAATATATATATTTATATAATACATATTTATAAATATTTCTAATGGTAAAAATTAGTTCATAGTATAAGTAATGATAAATCTTTGCCCATAATGCAGTTACAAGTATTCTGCATTCCTTATGACCTTCAAATGAGTGACAGTGAAGGCTGGCAACTCTTGCAGATAATATATGAAACTGGTGTAATTGTTTCTGTCTCTCTAGTATGTTGATAGGTAGGAAAACGTGAGTGAAGGGATTTGTGTGTGTGTGTGACCAGACGAGTTTTGGCATTGTTCATCTTGGGGTGAAGTCATCCTACTTCAGTAAAGAGTGCTGAGAGTGAAGAAGGACATCTCTGCTTATGGCTAACGAGGCTCGAATTGCGCAGTGAAGCACTGGGAGTTTGCTTCTATAGCAGCTGGTTTGTAAAAGGGTAGGCAGGTGCCGATTGCCACAACAGTGAGTTTCAGCTATTGCGCTTCCACCTTTGTGGAAAAAGAAATAGAAGTAGTCAGTTTGTGAGCGTGAGGAGATTTGTGAGCAAGCGACTCTGGTTGCTGCGTGATGTTTGAAGGTTGCCAAAATTTGCTCAGGGGAAGCCTGCGAACGGTGTCAGTGCTTTTATTTATTTATTTTCTCCCTTCACATGCACATTATTAGCATGCTCAGAGGGAAATATTAAATACAGATATAATAATAAATACAATATTAAATAGTTACAGAACTTATTTTGTTTCCTGCCCTCATGACATCACTTATCCTTGTCTTTCCTTTGACACCCCACCCCCCCCCCCCCCACCTCTCTGCTGCCTTTGTGCCCCTACAGATCTTTTTCAGGTGTCACTGGAGGGCAGCCCTCTCCTTTTGGGTATCTCACTCTCTTCTGCAAGGCTAATCTCAAAATTTATCTGTTCAGGGAACTATATATGATACGAGGTGCTGCCTATTCTCCTGTCAGCATTAGGGGTGCCAAAGTCTCAGAAGTCAGATTTGAAAATGTATGTCTGAAACTGTATCCTCTGTTACCTTGGAAATGTTTTCCTACTGGGCATTTGTTCTTGCACCCCTCACCACCATCTTTGTATTTTGCCTTGTTCTGTGCCCAGTGTTTGATAGCAGTTCATTGTTGGCTGTGCTTTGTTTTTTTGCCTCATTGTAGAGTGCAGTGGTTCTTCCAATCTTATAGCAGTAATAGGAGTTCAAGGTATTGAACACATCTCAGAGTAGCTCTGCATATATTTTCTTCAAGAAAAAGCTTTAGGTTGTAAATGATTTTTAATAAAAATGGTTTTATTTTTCTTCTTATAAAACAGCACATTTAAGATGCAATTAGAAATAATGACAACCATTTGGTATTTCAAATAAACCAGCTTAAAACCAATTTAGTTTCATTTTAATTTTTGTAGGTTGCAGTGACCGTATTTTCATGTCTGTAACCCACAGATCATCTGTCTTAAAAAAAAGCCAACCCCAAAACCCAAATCGCAAGCACACTCAACACCCTGTGACTGAGCAGCTGTGTGGGTTTTACATGTATGTGGGTAATATGAGGGGAAGTTTATCCCAGAACTTCCTCTCCCCCTCAGTAGTTTCCCTGCTTCTGGTTTTCCATAGCTTATTTCTGTCCCTCATGTGCTTACCTGTGCTCATTCCTCATTGACTACTTCATCATTTCTTGTAGTCCTTTTGCCCTTCATGTCTCCCTCCCCCGGCTGTGATTTGCTTTTATGCAGGCTCATACAGTTACTTGTACAGAGGTGCAGAATATGTGCCTGAAAACACAGTCTATGTTTGGCCTGCATTCAAAGAATAGATTTTTGAACTTGAAGACATTTTCTGAAAAGATATGTTTAATACATGTCAGAGATTTATGGGTTCCTGATGGAGGTAATGCCATCCTCATAAATGTCCTAGTGTAGTGTATGTGTGCATTTGTCTGCTTCTGGATTTTATTCCTCTTTATCATTTTCAGTAGGCTGGCATTCTAGAGCTCTTTAATTTCTTGTCCAGAGATGATTTGAGTTCTGATATTAATACTGGCTTCTGAAGTTAAATGTGGCTTTTGAGTTCAGAAGTCGGTTAGTGGCTAATATGAATTAGAGAATAATTGTTTGGACCTAAAGTGTTTTGAATTTTTTGCGTACCTGGTGATTTCTTCTCCTAGTGTGTATTGTATCAGAAAGTTATAACTCTTATTTTGTAACTCAAGGTACCTAGAGACTGGGCTTCTGGGCTTCTGTATATGTTGGTGATGGAAGTGTATGTTATGTCTTTGCTTTGGGTCATGGGTGTCTGCATCCATGTCTGCCTGCAGATGTCAAAATGCAGTTCCATCTTGCTATGTAAGCAGACCTGATCTTTGTAGATAACACTTGTAAGTATTGTGCCAAAACTGTATTTGTGTCACTGTGACAAAGTTACCAAAGCTTTAACAGAAGTTAACTAAAGCCTTACATACTGTTTATTCTCTTTGTCATTAATTTGACCTCTGTATCTAAGCATCTCCTGATAATAAATCTGCTTATTGCTGTGAGGTTATGAAATAAATGTTTTCCTCTTTTAGGGATGGGGAGTTGGAGCAGACAAAAACTAAGTGATTTGTCCAAGGTCATGCAGGAAGTCTGTGGCAAAGTGGAGAAATGAATGTAAATCTCCTTTGTTTCAGGCTAACTTGCAGCTGAGCTCTTGTGCTGGAACTGTGCTCATTGGTTGTGTTATGAAGCAGGGCTTTGAGTTCGTGCTTTATTGGGTGTCTGGTATTGACTGTATGTAAGCGTGGTAATTTAATGTTATTTTTGACGTTTGTGTAGAGGGACCAAACTAGATATTAACTACAATTAATGGTTTTTAATCTTTCTTATCCAAACTGAAACAAGTTTGTCTCCACATGGCTCATTTAAGTCCAGATAGGCAAGGCCAACTGTTATTTAAGCAAAAGTCATTTTCAAACCTTTACTGAAGGAGGCATTGCCTGCAAGGCTTGCCATCGCTTCAGAGTAAAATGCTATCACACATTCATTATTTAAATAGTAATAAAATCCAGTTGAGTTTCCTGGCTCCTTCAGCCCACTTTGTGTAAATTCACAGAATAAAGACCAGATCTGCCCGAGAGTCTTGTGAAAGTTAACCGTCAGCACTTAATAGATACATGTCTTGGTGTAGATGGTGGGGAGAAATGCTGTCCATTATAATGTGTGGAATATTAACAGATTTCAAAACTTGGCAATGTGGAATCAAGATTTCTTGGCTAAAGAGAGGTCTATGGAAAATGCGTGGCTCAAAGGCAGTTTTGAACTCAATAGTTTCATATGATAATTAATACATTTCATCTACGTACCATGAAAGTCTGGCATTTGTTTTGCTTACATTTGTTTTCATAGTGCTGGCAATTTTTTGCAAATGTATTTTCTCGATGTCTTCAACTCCAGTAAGGCTTTAAGTGCTTTTGCTTTTAAATCTGGTGTATTATCTAAGAATGGATTGTCACTGTTAAGCTGTAGTATAAGTGTCACTTTTATTATTTTCAGGCTTGGAATAGTCCTTCCTGGACACAGTCATATTTTAGCATAAACTTTCTGGTCTTACATTTTGTAATTAAAAAGCTTAATTTTGGTAT